ACAGTATAATCAGCTGATTGGTGTCCGGTGAAACTCATTGCAGTACAGTAGTACGCAATGAAACCCCATTTGAATAAGCTGGCGGCAAACAACTGTTTTCTGGACTAAATCCTTGCGTGGGAAGTTCGTCAAAATAATGCAGTGTGGCGTAAAGTTTTTTTTTATTCTTGTCTCTAAGAGGTTACGTCACTCGCTCACTCGGGAAGGGTCAATCTCATAAATATCTAAGCTTTTGAAAATGAATCAAGATTTAAGTCAAATTCAAACAACGGTTTTCTCTCACTTTGTAACACAGATATAACATGCAACAGACAATAAGCAGACAATAAGTATGGTATTTAACACGTTCGCTTTTGCAATAGTACAAAATTTTTCATTCACATGGACCTGCGACGGCCAGTTTCCACCCATAGACTGCCGTCGCATATTAAAATAGACTGCCGTCGCATATTTGCGTCGGGTTTCTAATGTTATTAAAATGCGTATATCTTTGTAACAGTCTTTTTGAAGGCACTGAATTCCCCGTAGTGGTTCACAGAGATGTCTGACGCACAACTGCGTCGCTTGGTCTGTGGATATGATAATTTGTGACGTCGTATGATAGTTGGAAAAACTGGTCTTTACTTTTCTGCATCACTGTATGTATGTATGCAGTATGTATGCTGCATTATCCTATGTAGCTTTTATATTTGTTCAGTTATAAACTGTTCTTGAATAATCTGTTTTTTTACCTCAAAACACAAACAAAAATGAACTGTCACATATATGCGACGTTTGGTCTATTTAAAAAAAAATTATGATAATTATCACTATTGTCTTTGCTATAGACCGGGCGTCGCAAATATGCGACATTACAAAAGGTTATAAAAAATACAAAATAACAAGAATAAATTATTTACAAACATGATTGTAGCATATTACAATGTAAATGATCACTGTTTTACAGGTTTTCGCCCGTGGTCTGTGTCTGCACAGCCGGTCTATGTGTAAGATTCAAATGTATACCTTGGTCTGTGGCAATGACCGCGGTGTGTACTGTAATATCCAAGTGACAGCCGGTCTATGAAATGAAATGAAATGAAAAACGTCTTTATTTAGCCAGCGTTATTCAAAGTACAGTTCTTTGATTTTCAATACAACTGTTGTCAAACTAAACGTAATTGGTCAGCTTATACTAGACTTATTGCAACAATACATTTTAGATCAACTGGCTAATTATTATCGGTATAAAATAAATCTTTCAAACCCCTTTTAAATCTAGAGAGGTTTACTGATTTGAGGTCAGTTGGAAGGGCATTGTAGGCTTGGGGCCCAAAGTAAGAAAAGGCTTTCTTCCCTAATTCCGTTCTGACCCGTGGCAAGTGTAGCAAGCCTTCCTGCCGAGTGAGGCGAACACTCACCTCAGACCTGAAAACCAGTTTCCTTCTGATGTATTGGGGACACTCCGTTAACAAAGTTTTATGAACAATTAGAACGGTTTGAAGATCACAGCATTGTTTAACTGTCAAGATGTTTGCCCTTGACCTATACTCGCTGATATGATCCGACCTTTTTAAGTTGAAGACAAATCTCAGAGCACTGTTCTGAAGTCTTGTGAGAATATTTATATTCTCTTGAGTAAGGCTGTTACCAAAAGAGGGAAGAGCATAATAAATAGATGGAAGAATTATAGCACGAACTATTTCAAGTTTGGTTGAGATTGGTAGAACAAACCTAAACCTATTAAATAATCGTAATTTAGCAACAACAGTTTTACAGATGTGTCTCACATGTTCAGAAAAATTGAGCCTAGAGTCCAATTTGACACCAAGGAATTTTAATGAATCGCTAACAGGCAACGGCTTATCATTTAGAAGAACTTCACAATCAGTATCCTTGTTGTGTTGGCTTTGCACAGAGTAGTTTACGATTCTTAAAACAGAACACTTGTCAGGATTCAGCTGAAGACCATGATCATTAGACCATTTATTAACACTTATCAAGTCGCTATTCATGCGGGTGACTGCTTCAGGAAACTCAGCCAAAGGGTAAGATAAAATAAGGTGCGAGTCGTCGGCGTAAGAATGGACAGAGCAGTGACTAAGCTGTGACTCAAGGTCGGCAGTGTAAATCAGGAAGAGGATAGGACCTAAGCAACTGCCCTGGGGAACCCCCGACACTTTTGGTAAAAAATGTGAAACCTGATCATTAACTCGAGTTTGTTGTGACCTATTACGGATATAGGAGGAAAACCACTGCACAGATCGACTATCAAATTGGTAAAAACTCAGTTTGGCTAACAGAAGATCGAAACTAACTGAATCGAATGCCTGTGAAAAGTCCAATCCAGTTACAATACTACCCCAATTTCTATCTCTTGCACAAATCAATTCATCCATGACATTCAGAAGAGCTGAACTAGTGCTGAACCCCCTTAGAAAACCTGACTGTGTTTTAGGAAGAATTTCCTCTGAATCAAGATACGAGACTAATTGCTCTCCAATCACTTTTTCCAATATTTTGGAAAGCACTGGAAGAATTGAAATGGGTCTGAAATCAGAAACACATGAAGCATTGGTCTTTGTTGATAGCGGAATTATAATACTCTGTTTCCAGGCACTGGGAAAAATGCCAGTAGTCATGGATAAATTTACAAGATGACAAATAGCAGAATCACAATAATAACTCAACGATTTAACCATATCAACAGAAATGCCGTCCACACCAACAGCTCGGGTTGTGATGCTGTTCATGACATCCCTGATTCGTTTCTCTGTCACTAGACTGAATGAGAATTTATTCTTCACTTGGCTACTTTGGTTCTCAGCGTAGAACTCAATCCTACCCCTGTCTAAACAACCTTTGCCGCCCATTGTGGAGAAATATTTATTCAAGTCCTCAGGAGAGAAGGTACACTCATTTTCTCTGCTCGAGCCCAGTACGCCATTGCTTCTCAACGATGACCAAAAACCTTTTGGGTCCTTATTCTTTAATTGACTTGAGAAGAACCGCTTTTTTTGCGCTTCTTATGGCCGAGTTTAATGTGTTTCTTGCTTTAGTGTAAGCAGATCTGGTCGAGCTGTTCCTACAACTCAAGAATGCTTTATGGCAATTGTTCTTAATTTTTGTCAGAGACAAAATATGATCGTCTCTCCATGGAGCTCTTTTCCTCGTTACACGTCTTCTCACAACCGGTGCACAAGAATTGAAAATGTGCAAAATTTTATTATTTAGAGCATAAACAACTTCATCAACTTCTTTGAGGGAAGCTATTTCATCCCAGTCACACTTTGATGCTAGTTCGGTAAAGAGGTCCACATCAAGGTTTTTCAGATTTCTGTAAGTTACATATTTCGATTTGCTCTTCTTTTTACAATATGGAAAATCGCAAAAAACCAAATTGTGATCCGTTATTTTTCTTCCAGCAGAATCAAGAATCTTCGCTGTGTCAATCATTCCAACATCGAGTTTAATATTCTTTTCTACGATTATAAGATCTATCAGGGTAGAAGAGGATTCAGTCACACGTGTTGGAAGAGAAGAATAAGGTGCAGAAGGTGGTCTATATGCAAAGCAGATACATAACTTTGTGTCCTTGAAATTGACGACTCCACAAATATATTCGATGGAACAATCAACATTTTGAAGTTGCATGGAAGAGAAGCTCAAACCATTTTTAATGTACAAGGCCACGCCACCCCCAATTCTTCCAATTCTGTCATTTCGGATCAAATTGTAGCCAGAAATGTCATAAACACTCGAGGAATCCTCAGGTGACAACCACGATTCCGTAATGCCCAGCAGATCAAACTGAAAGTCCTCCACAATTGTACAAATCTCCTGGAAACCAGTGTTCAGGGAGCGAAAATTAGCATGAGCTATCTTAAAACTTGAGAGGGTTGACCTGTCTCGTTTCCCGACAGAGGTATTGGTTGCGGGTAACTTGGAAGACTAGATAGGACAGATACTACAGAATCATTACATGGAGTTACATTGACTGTTTGTGAATCTCTGTTTTCATGAGACTTCATCATAGCTTGACACAGGAACTCACTAAGAAGATGATTTCCAAGACGACTTAAATGCCTACCATCACGAGCCAAATGGCGCTTAGAAACCAATCGAGAAGCATCGACAAACTCTACTCCAAAGTTGTTGCACATAAGAAATAGTTGCTCATTAAAAAGTGAAAGGGATCGATGACTCACGTCATTCCGAATAAGGACGCTGTTCAAAAGGATTCTAGCTCTAGGGAAGGCGGACTTAGCCACACTCAGCAGGTCAGCCATGGAGTGCAACGCAACTTTTTTTCCCCAACCTCCATTATAACCAGGCCCACCATTATAATTTATTACAAGATCATTGGTTCCCACAAAGAGATAAATCAAGTCAAGTTGGTCAGAACTGTATGTAATAAGTTTTTCTTTAATGTGTGATATTTTTGCCCCTGGATTCATATCAACTACAGCCCCACTTTTTGAACATTTGTCCCCAGAGTACCTCAACAAGGAGTCCCCAAGCAGCAATGTCCTTTTCAATGGACCTTCTTCAGGCATATTTCTAGTTATACCTTGTCCATTAAAACTTTGTCCACCATGACGGTATTGATTTTTAGTATTGATTTTATCCTTTATAGAACTCGTTTTCCCTAATGCCTTGCCTTTATTTGATTGAGTGTTACTATTTGCAACAACCCTTGGCTTAACTATGGTTTTACTAGCCCTATTAACTTTCCACTTCCCCGACACATTTTCAACAATTCTTTCACATATTTCTTTGTCATCAACACATAGACATAGAGCATCATAACTATTTTTACTAGTAAAATCCTGACCACTGCTTACAGCTAATAAGGTATTAGGTTTAGCACATTTCTTACTCTTTGACTTAACTTTATCCCATTTTGCAGCAGACAATGGATCTTACACAATCTATGTGTAAGATTCAAATGTATATCGGTCTGTGGCAATGACCCCGGTGTCGCACATGTGCGACGCTCAGTAGTGAACGTGTTAACTCACCTTTGTACACTGTTTTGTTCCTAATCGAAAGTCCAACTTTGTATCGCCAAGACCTTTTATCCAGTCATCTAGAGACCATTTTAAAACATCCCATGATAAAATTCTATTTAATAAAAGGGGCTCCTTTGTATTTGATATAAGGTCTTTAATATCTTCAGGACTTAAACTTAGTTTGATTTTCTTCTTTTTAGGATTATCTTCTGCCATTAAATATTCTAAAAAAAAAAAAGTTTTTAATAACCTGGAAATGTTGTACAAAAACAATTCTTATCTTTACAGTAAGTAAAAAATCAATGTTACTACAATATAACATAAAAATTTCCAACACGCAGTAAGCCTACAGAACTAAATAATATAGTCTATAGCCTAGCCTAAACATAATAGTACAATGAGACATAGGCCTAATGAAAATTTGTGTTTACTATATTCGAAATTTTCAAGCACAGAATAAATTTAATTAATGAATACACAAGTATAAACATAAACAGAGTTTGTGTTTATAGATTAACGGTATACTGTTCACACGTACAAATAGGTTTACATATACGTTTTGTTAAAGTAGACAATAAGTTGACCGTGCTTGCAAACATCTTTAGTTATTATTCTCATTATTTACCCTTTCTAAAACCAAATTGTTCACTAGCCAAAATATTATTATTTTCAAGAAAACTTGAGATTTGTTATTATGCTACAGAAGGGAAACTGGTCGATAATTGTCCGGATTTTGTCTCTCGCCCTTCTTGAAGAGAGGTTTGAGCTCTGCCAATTTTAAATGATTGGGAATAATGTTTGTTTGAAAAAGATTGATTTATAATTATAGGCTAGATAAAGGTTCAGCTATAAAATAATTTATAAATAAAAAACTTTTTAAAACAAAACGTTTTTAAACGCACTAAAAAGTAGAAAATAATTTATAAATACGTGGAGAGTATAAATACTTGTAAGATTTAAAACGAAAAAAGTAGGGTGCATGCAATACAGATAATTTACAATTACCTTCACCTGTTGAACTAATGTATTATTATCAATTGCATGCACCCCACGTTTTTCATTTTAAATCTTACAAGTATTTATACTCTCCACGTATTTATAAATTATTTTCTACTTTTTAGTGTGTTTAAAAACGTTTTGTATTAAAAAAGTTTTTTATTTATAAATTATTTTCTACTTTTTAGTTTTTAATGTGTGTGGATGTTAAATCTATTTCAAGCATCTATATCAGATTAAGACAGAGGCATTTAGGAAATCTAAGGTTTATTTGAGTTTCTTTTTGTATAATTATGTATTAGATTGAATGTGTGGCCTACCTACTAACTATAAATATATCAATCTATTTAATTTATTGTTTACTTTATAGAATAACTAGCTGTAACCCGCGGGCTTTGCCCCGTTTAACTTCTTAATTTTCAAGATTATCTCGTTCGCATGGCTCAATCACATCCTGGTTGAAGTTTGTTCGCTACGCTCACTCACCTTTAGGTTGGAGCTTGTTCGCTGCGCTCACTTGCCTTCAGGTTAGCTCGTTCGCTACGCTAACACTCCTCCAGGTTGAAGTTCGTTCGCTACACTCACTCACCTTTTGGTTGCAAATCAGCTGTTGTCATAAATGTAAAAGAAATAATAGTGCTGCACCCTGTTGGTAATCCTTGTAACTTTAATGCTATTGAACATCATAGAACAGAACCAACTTGTTTAATTGAAACAGCTGCTAAGATTCAATAATTCCATTTCTCATAAGGTTAACATGGGAAACTCCAGAGCCACTGGGGCGGAGCCCGAAAGGATTTTTGAAATAAGAATATGCCTATATGTTAATCGGGAATGTGAGCTATCATCATGCCAAATTTCAGCCCAATCCGACCAGTATTTTTCGCGTTCACTTGTCACAAACATACATCCATACATACATCCATACATCCAAACTTTCTCATTTATAATATTAGTAGGATAAATAAAAAACCTTTATATATCTGCAATCAGATTGTTTATATATATTTCTTTATGTTTGTTTGTATAAAGAATCTCTTGAGAGCATAACCTGTACCTCTTAACCTCTGCTCTTCGAACTGTCAAATTTAAGTATTTACAGCTGACTTTTTTTAATTAATTGATATATTTACATTAATTCAAAATGTAAACATGGAAAATTTGGAAGCCTATGGGGCGTAGCCCAAGGGAAATATGAAAATTAAATGATATAATATTGCATTGTCATCCATTTGTGAGTTATGTTTCAAATTTCAAGTCTCTAGCTCATCGGGAACTTCGTTTACAATTGATATCAAAATTTGTAGGAGAGCGACTAGTGAGCTAATAAGAACAAACCTATGGGGCGTAGCCCAAGGGAAATATGAAAATTAAATGATATAATATTGCATTATCATCCATTTGTGACCTATGTTTCAAGTTTCAAGTCTCTAGCTCATCGGAAAGTATCAAAATTTGCAAGAAGGCGAGTTAATAAAAACAAGCCCATGGGGCATAGCCCAAGGGAAATATGAAAATTAAATTATATAATATTGCATTGTCATCCATTTGTGAGCTATATTTCAAGTTTCAAGTCTTTAGCTCATCGGGAACTTAGTATAAAATTGATTGCAAAATTTGTACCGGACAAGAAAGCGAGCTAATAAAAACGTTTTAATAAGAGACTGTTTTCAGATAGTACTACAGTCCCATCCAGCAATTTTTTACTTTTGAGATATTTCATATTATTAATAACTTCTTCATACTTACAAAACTGAATTCAAATGGATTAGGTTTGTTTCCTGCTAATGTATAGCCTACCTTGTCAATTTTAGTGCATCCTATTCATGAGGTATTAGGCCAATTTCTTTTGTGATATTTATAAATTTGTTATTAAAGAATTCAGAAATTTTCTTGCCACTTTTGAGATGATTGTCAGTAACCCTAATATCAGCAAAGTTAATGTCATTCTTTTACAACCGAGTTCAGATTTAATGATAGACCAAGCAGCCTTACTCTTGTTATCTAAATCTTTTATAAATTTACCGATATACATTTGTTTTGCTTCATTGCATACTTGCATGCTTGTTGAAACATTGTTAATTGCTGCAACATTGCATGCTTGTTGAAAGTTAAATTTATACCTTTTAACATAATTAATAATGAAATTTCTATCATTTGTTTCTTGAAAACTAACTCACTTCTTTTCTTAAAACTTCTTCTATCATTTGGTTAAAACGGGCAAACCCTAAACTAAAAAAATGAAGTACCAAACAAAATAAACTACAATTATCTCCTTTTAGCGAATTTCCCTATAGGGAAGTTGGTAGCTATTACCGTAGGTGGCAGGGTAAGACCTAGGTCCGGGACCGATTTACTTTTTCATTTTGATGTCCCCAGAGGCCAAAAACACCATTCGTTCAAATTTTTATTTACGTATATATATACAAGTATAAATTATAAGTAAAATTTTTAAAGTTGTATTTTTGAAGTTGTAAAATAAATTAGTGGTAAGCTACACAGAGGCATTAGGTAAACTTAAAGAACAATGCTTATGTAAATATGAATTGTTTAAAAGTGCTGGTAATGGAGTGTATAGAGAAGCTTACAAAGTATTAAAATCAAAGTACCGTACAAAAGTGAATTAAGGTCAAAATTGGCCTATAATGGTAAATACAATTTTAAAAGTTAAGAATAAACCTAAAGCAATCTGGAATGTGGTGAAATAGAATCTGAATGTAAATGAAAGACCTTCAGAGAACAATGAACAAACAAACTTAACTTGTAGTTGTTTTAATGAATATTTTCTTAACAATATTATAGCAATTAAGCAGGCTATACTAGAATCTAAACATGACATGTTATTTTATCTTAACAAAGTTGGTAAAAGGTGCAAATACAATAGGTCTAGTGTACAATCAATTTTCTCATTTAATTTTGTTAGTGTTCAACATCATCAGATATAGTACAACAAATCCTTGGTACGAGTTGTGAATGATTTGATTTGAGCTGGTTTGAGTCCATGTTTAACTCGGACTCAAAAAATCACTACTTTTCTGAGCCAGGTGATGGCCGAGTTATCCAGACTGCCAGGTTATCGAGTGCCGAGTTTGCGGGACTCTACTGTAACCGGTAAGTACCCGTATGTTTTAGTTCGGATAGTAGCGACCCGTCCACGCGCACAGAAGTTTTGGCCAAACTGTATGTAAAAAGTAGTTAAGATTAAATTCCTACAATAATTTTATTTCATGATCATTTCACCGGATCAAGTACCTTCTTTAGAGTAAAAAGATTTAACTAACTTATCAAGCAACAAAAACATCAGTTTTTGAAATTGGCAAAAAGTTTAAAAAACCTGTTAACTTACCATTGAATGTTAAATATTTAGATTTTAAGAATTTTAAAATTTATGTTAAATCATTGACTAAGCAACACATGGGAGTATGATTTATCTATGGTTAAATCTTTTAAAAGGACTAGTTACTTAACACACAAACTTCTCATACAGAGAGATTCGCCTGGAGACACAAGCCACATTATACAGCGGAGTGTGACGGCTCGTAGACGAGTTAAGGTAGGCCTGTAACTCAAGTTATCCACTGTATCGGGTTTTGGCTAATAGGCCTAGGCCTAGGCCCCACAGCAATAAAGTTATCAACATAGCCTAAATCTACAGTTAAGCTATTATTGGGCAAGCATTCCTATGTAGCCTAAGTATAAATAATAAAATATCTTAAGTTGTTTGAACTATCTTTGGCTTAGTCAAAGTGGGTACAGTTTCTTAACTGGGCTATGTACACTAATATCGATTGAAAACAGCAAGGGCTGCACTTTACTTGACGTCCTACACTCATTCGAATGAAAATATCGATCGATATATCAATTAATCGATTGCTTCATTCGATATATCGTTTGGTTAGTTAGGTAAGGTTAACCGAACCAAACGATATATCGAATGAAAGAATCGAATGAAAATATCGAATCGAAAAAACCAATCGAATGAGTGTAGGACGTCAAGTAAAGTGCAGCCAACAGCAAGTTTGGTTGGTTAGGTTATAACAGTTTCATTTTATAATTGATACATGCCTAGGTAGGCCTAGTTTAAAAATAATCGAATGAAGGTTTACTAATCTCGAATCGATATTTTCAAACGATATTAGCCCAGTTAAAAAACTGTGTCGGTCACAGTGCTAAATATATCTTCTTAAAAGTTACATTTTAATCCTAACAAACTACCTAGCCTGACAAAAACTAACCTAATGATGACTCAAAGTACCGACAAATAGTCTAAATAATAAAGCTAGGCTTACAAAATTTTTCAAACAAATATTTTATGGAAATAATAAATAAAAGTAAGGAGAATCATATTTGAAATAAATATAACACCATACCAAAGAGAATAATATGGAAAGGAAAAGGAAAGGTGTAGGCCTACAGAAAAAACAGGGATAGTTTCAGTTTGTACTTACAACTACTTATACTTATAGGCTAGTATCTATAGGTTAATTTTGGTTGTTAGCCTTGTTGGCTGCACTTTACTTAACGTCCTACACTCATTCGATTGTTTTTTTTTTATTCAATATTTTCATTCGATTGTTTCATTCGATATATCGTTTGGTTAGTTAGGTTAGGTTAACCTTACCTAACTAACCAAACGATATATCGAATGAAGCAATCGATTAATCGATATATCGATCGATATTTTCATTCAAATGAGTGTAGGACGTCAAGTAAAGATAATTTTAGCTCAGTGGTTTTGTTTTACTAGTCTTTTTAACTTTTTTTAGCCGTTGGCTAGGCTATGTCTTTTTAAAAATCCATGCAGCTTCGAGATACACTAAATGTGGCTGCTTCCTGTATATTGATGGTGTCAATTATGTTATTTTTTAGGTTTAAACAGTAGATTTTGGTTTTGTTAGGTGTTGTTGGTTATTTTATTTGGCTAATGGTTCTGAACTTTTTACTTTCTCCCCCTATACCTAGTATATGGAGTAAGTATTGTCTATTGTTTTCGTCAACATTTTCGAGTTTGAGTTTTGAATGGATAGCCTATATCCACGATTACTAGAGTGATATCCATTTTGGGTCCCCCTGGACCCCAAAAAAATGGTTTTCGAAGTGATTTATGTGTGTGTGTGTGTGTGTGTGTGTGTGTGTGTGTGTGTGTGTGTGTGTGTGTGTGTGTGTGTCTGGATGTGTACAGAGCTACAGACCACACATGTAGTCCGATTTTGATGAAATTTGGTATGTAGGTACTAATCTAAGGTATCTCCAGGCGTTTTTTTTTATTTTTTTGAAATTTTTATTTTTAATGGGGTTTCCCATAAAAACCCATAAATTAACGGAAAAATCGGTTTTTTTTTTAAATAACCCCGATCGTGTATGTATAGTATGTTAGTATGTTGTAGTCCTAAAATTCTGAACAAAATGGTATGACTCCCATTTCTGTAAAAATTACGGTTCAAAAGTAATTGTAAATTATGTTATTTTCCCATAAAATAACGAAAAATTGGATTTTAAAAAACCGGTTTTGATTTAACTTGGTATGTTATGGTCCTTAAAAGTTTTGAACATTTTTTTCTTTTTTGAAATTTTGATTTTTGTGGGGCGATTTTCGATTTTACCATAAAACCCCATAAAAACAACAGAATTGAAAAATTTAATTTTCTCGAAAATGGCCCGAACGATTTTTTAAAAAAAATTTTATGTTATAGTCCTTTTAAACTTAACAAAATTGTACAAATCACATTGCCATCAAAATTATGGTTCAAAAGTTATTGCAACTTATGGTGTTTTCCCATAAAAAACCATAAAATAACAAAAAATCGGATTTTTGGAGGGGTTTGATCCAAATTAATATGTTATGGTTCTTATCAATATCATAAAAAAAATAGTATAACATCCCATTGCTGTAACATAAAGGTTATTGACAAGCTTATGGGAGAAAGTGTGTGTCAGAATGCTGATACCGTTTATTTCCATCTAGTTTACATTGCAGGCTTCGGTTCAAGGTTCAATAGACCCGGCACCCTCGATGTACACTGAGTTGTAGGGTTGTTGTTGTTTCCAATTCAGCCTGCAATTAAGGTTGTAGACATTCCATCCCCATGTTAAATGTGTAGCCAGCACGGCCTTAGTCGCTAACAAGAATACAAGATCGCGCCACTCATCCTAAACTCATATTTGGGTTAAAATACGCACATAGTGGTGGCGTCCCCATCTTAAATAATTGATTGATTAATTGACCAACCCTTCAAAACAAAGGCTTTCATTTGAGATGTTGATCATTTGAGTCAGTTAAGTTAAAGATACTGTCTGTATTACTCAATTATTACCATTAGTGAATTTTATGTTGACCCGGGCAACGACGAATTTTGCTGCTAATTGTATTAATAATTACGATTAGGCTCTTTAAATCAAAACCATTATACTATTTAATTTAAGGTAAGTGCTAGCCACTCCTTACCTGAAATAAAATTATTCATATTCTTATGGGATACAGGTCACCTTCTTACCCTTGTACCTTACCCTCAGGCGCTATACAGCCCACGATGCTCCATCACAATTTGTCTCCAATCTTCTCTATGTCTTGCTCTCTGTCTCCAATTCCCAATTCTCAAATCCTACTCAACATCCTGAAGCCATCTTCTCCTTGGACTCTTTCTTGTTCCGTAGATTTGACGGCTCCGTGTTTAGCCCGGACGTGTTTGACGCGGACACCCTCAAAATGGTGTTTCACCCGGACGGACGCTTCAGAAATCCCCGCGCCACGGCTGGGTGGGTAATTCGTCGCTTTTCGCCCCCATTATATCGAGTATAGACGCTCGGTGACGTTTCCCTCCCAACACAGGGAATTATTAATATCGTAACCAGAACTGGTGGCCCGTAGCTACAAGTGGTAGAAAATACTATTTTTTTATTTATTATTAATTCTATTCGGATTTCAAAAACTAAACGTTATTACTACCTGTATAATTGCAAGCACGGAATCTATAATGTTATAAATTACAATTACAAATATTAGTTTTAGCAATAACTTTTAAATATAACAATAAAATAAAGGGCATTGAAAGTAAAGCCTTCAAATTTTAGTATTATATCAAATATTGCACATACTTATTAACAATGAACCTGAGCATATTCCATAACAATTAGAGAATGATTACTTAGGTGGCTATTTTTAAATCAAAATTTAAACTTCAATTTTAGTCCTGCCCCACGGATGGGGAACAAGACTGTTTCATGATTCTTAGCCTGCATTTTTTATACTGCTTTACTGCTGTACCGGATTTTTAAAATTATGACACAACTATATATTAATGACGCAATATTAATGACGCAGTACGCAATATTATAATTTAGAGGATTGCGTATATAATTCAAGTATACTCTTATTTGCCAGTATATTCGACAGTGTACTGTATACTGTATAAAACCAGAAATAATGTTATCTGCATAGACCCTTTTCGTTAGTCTAATAACATCCGAAGGCTCTTTAAGAGTTCAAGTTCTTATTTGTATACTTATCTATTTTGAGATAGACCTATTATGTTTTCACTAAGCTGAATGAATACATCGAAGTAACCTCTCTGAAACATCTGCAGTATATTGCAGTTTTCCAGCTTAATGACTTTCTAAATCATGCACATATTTCTACATAAATATTGTAAAATGTTTTATCCAGTTGCTGTAAACCACTATTAATTTAACAAATTATGGACACGGCTCAAATGGGTACCGTGCCCTTCTGCACTTGTATTATTTTGTATTGTATTACACAATCGAAGATTTTTCCAATGATTTAAAGCATGTATGACAATAATCTCATGAACCTATGATGATCTGTCTAGAATAATATGATAAAATATAAGGAAAAAGTGTGAAAAAGGCAGACACCAACTCGTAAAATAGATATAAGATAGTTCAATAAGAAATAACTAGTAAACACGTTGCTCGAAATCGAGCAATTGCAAAGAAGTGAAGTAGTTATTTAAAAACAAAGAAAAGTCATCATAATTTCTTATGAGTTTTAATGTCTTTGAATTGAAAAATAAATAACTGCAGATAACTTATACAGCTGATCAAAATGTAAACAATAATGTTATTCATAAGGATAACATGGGAAATTTAACAGCCACTGGGGCAGAGCCCAAGGGACTTTTTTCAAAAATATAAGGTCAGTTTGCAAATCTACGCGACACGCTCTTTTTAATGAGACGTCAACGGATATAATCGGCTAAAAAATGGCGGAGGAGTTCAACCGACAAAGTTTCGTGTAGCGTATTAATTATATACAAGATGTTATACCCGCGAATTCACGGATGAACAGAAGCCACCATTAAATTAATTTAATCAACTTTGACTTTATATTTCATTTAAAGGGCCCAAGTTCGAGAAATTGTCATCTGAAAGGGTGTTAAAAGCAGTGGAACCTTCATACCTTACGTCCTAAGGTTGGCCGAGGTTGTACCTGTAAACGCAGCTCTCTTTCACGACGTCTTTAATACTTTACTTTAATACTTTTCAATGAAATTGCGACCTGTTAAAAATCAGTGACAACCTCTTGGAACGAAGAACATACATGGTTTTTAATCCCATATTTATTGTGTTTCAGTGTTTCGATCACCTTTAAGCACTCACTTGTATCAGCTAGAAATAGCTTCACTGTCCATTCGCCGCACTTCTTTTAAGAACATAAAAGTAAATAATAAAATAAGTAAACAAAAATGTAAACAAACTAACTATATTGTCAATTGCATTGGCCAGCTGTTGTTCACTAAATTCATCGAATAATAACTTCCAAAACATGCAAGGCGTAGCCCTTTGGAAATCACCCCGTGGGACAGAGCCCTTAGGGAGTTCGTCCATATCAATACTTTTCGGCAAATCTACACACTCTAAGCTTCATTTTGATATGCCATATGCCTATATTTTTATTGGGTAAATTGCCATAACCGTTTACATAAAATCTTATTGTATCACTTTAATAATATAATAGATAGATTGTAAGAGTTATTGTGATAAAAGGATTTCCACTGATTTCGCAATGGAACTTTATATTGCAACACATGACATGATACATAAGAAAATCAATTTTAAAATCAGAAAATAACATTGCAAATACTTCTTTTGGACAATTCAGTAACTCCCAATCTATGTGTGTTGTTTAAAACACTATTTAAAAATTAAGTTTTTAAAATTTTGGAGCTGGTTTTCTAGCCGCTAGTAACTAGCAGCTAGAACCAGCGGAAAACCAGCATCGTGTGACTGACTCTCCAGCCGCTGGAGGTTTTAAACGGTTTAATATTACAAGCGCTTGAAGAGTCACTTGCAGGTCATGTGACCACCCAGCTGTAGTCTCTAGCATCATTCCAGCCCTGTCTGACAGTATCGTGCTAGTTCTCGCAATAAGAAAATAGCTATTTACCTTACAAGTGTAGTAAGAGCGTTTTTACATCACGCAGGTGAATGTTGTGCAACGAGCGGAAGCGAGTTGCATAATTTACCGAAGTGATGTAAACACGCTCTTGCGTAACGTGTAACGTACAAGAT